AAGAGAGAGAGAGAGAGAGAGAGAGAGAGAGAGAGAGAGAGGAACCTGTGCTGTACAGTGATGCCGATCATTGAACAGTCCACTAAACAAGGAAAAACGGGAGATGGGAAGAATAATTGAGGGCAATACCGTATACACCTCGATGCTAACAAAAAGCAATCATCTACTAAGTCTGGTCGTGAAACAAAGTCCTGTGAGAGAAAATCATATCAGCATAGCAAACGATTTAGAAAAAAATTAGATTTTTAAAACATTAAATTTAATACTTTACCTGTATCTTTGCAAGCATAATTGTTGTGTGGCTGAAGAGAGATTCAATCAGGAGTTTCAAGTAATTTGTACAAGATGGATCTGACCCGAATATCTACACAAGATGTTTGTTTCCAGTTATAGATCATGTAAAAAATTTAATAATAAATTCAGTAAAAAGCATCAAATAACAACCTTAATAACTTCACTTGAGAGATATAGGAAACAAGGCTGCTGATGCTGCTTGTACAAGATCTGTATCTCCTCAAGCATTACACCAACTGTAACTCCCATAAGTGACTTAGAGGTCCTCACCTGAAAAAATTGACAATAGTTATCAGAAAAAAACTGCATAAGCATCCAAAAACTACTTCAGTGGATAGTCCACTAAGTGGTTGTATAGTCATAAAAAATTCCATATGAAGTTTAGACTAATTAAAAGTTAATCCACTTATCATTTAAAATTGTAAATGCCATCTCAACAAATAATCCCCTTTTACAAAATGTATCCCCAAGAGGATGTTTGTTCGACATACAAACTCAAGGTTGTGCCAATAACAATTTAAGGAAATATTCATAATTTTCAGAGAGAGATTGTATTCCTAATTGTTACGGTAAATGTCGGGTGGATTTTGCAATTATATGTCGGGTGGATTTTGCAATTATCCTACAAATAAACTAAATAGAAGAACATTTTATTCCTATTTCCAATATACAAAATCAATAGGCGGAGGTAAATAGTTTCATGGACCTGGGCTCACCTTGCCTTGTGGACCCTCCTAATATGATGCATTTTTTTAGTCATTATGCAACATACCAAAATACTGATCCGTACATATTTAATTATGTACTATATAGGTGCACTGATGTATATTATCAGTTATTGCAATGCAACTAATAATTTATATTGATGTACATGACTTTATAATGTCGATCTTGGTCTCAGATAATATTTTATGGTAGAAGCAAAATCTGATATAACTACACGTATGATCAAACAAAACTTCCAACATTTTTCAGTAACTTACAGCATTTTTGCATGCTCGACAAAGAGACTCCATAGTCCGCATGTCCCAAGAACGACTGCAGCAAAAGTATTTTAGCTAGAATTGTTTAAGGCCAAGTATCTAACAAAAAAATAAGTGAAATATGTATTAAGAAGCAAATACAGCACTGACATATCGAAGATTGCTTTGAAGATTGGCCAAAGCCTTTGAACAGCATCGGCAACAGCTTCCGGATGATTTACATGTCTGACAATGTTTCAATTACACAAGCGTTGTCATTTAGCCTAATAAAGAGTCTTCATATAAACTGATAAAACAAACTCAATAATCACTAGTTACCTGAATATATTTGCTAGTCTATCTATATGAACAGTGAGATCACGAGCAGGTCTCTGCCCCAACACCAAAGGACCTTGACTAATGATGTCCTGTTGATCGACAACACAAAATAATTACTTGACCCAAAAAAAGCAAGTCAAAATGCTCACAAATAGGAACACTAACTTGTAAAGGAGCAACAGCAGGCAGGCATAATGCCTCTAGGGCCTTCTTAGCATGTTCTGAAGGAAGTTCAGTGATGACCATACTGTACACCCAAAGTTTTTCAACAAGTCAATTTAAAATCGAATTTTCAGCAAGTTCTTTAGTATACTAGAAATTAAGACTACCTTAGAGCCTCGACCACGTGCAACGAGTCTTCAGCAGAAATCTTGAAAGGACCTTCTCCAGTTACCACCCTTTGGTATATTTGAAATAGACCATCCAATGATCCACACAACTTTTTCTTGCAGTCTACAAAAAATAAATTATATATAACATGCATCAAGCATTAAAAATTATTGATTAAATAAAAGTACAACTATTGCAAATGGCAGCCAATTACAGTAGCCGAACAGGGTCTCCACATGGAAAAAACAATTAAATTTTGCACAAAATGCATCGAGGCTGATATACGTAAATAAGCCTTATTTTTTTTTAGAAAAAAAAATATCCTATTTTACTTCGTCACCTATAAAGATCCCAAAATCCTGCTGTTTTGTAGTCTGAAATATATTACGACCATATACAACAACTACCCTCTTCAGAGTTGCATATACATTATTAGAATCGTGTAGAGAAAACTCCAACCCACTTTAGTTCAATGAGTTGAGAATGAGCAAGATCAGTGCTGATATGAAGACAAGAATCATGACACTGGAAACACAACATAAAGGACCCTGAAACATGAATTGAGGAACCTAATAATTTTTAGTTTGACAGATATTACTTTTTTAATCAGAAAAAGGTTTCCAATCATTCAGAGTATAAGAACACCGAACACGAGAGGCTAAGCTGAGAGAAACAGATACCATCACAAATATGCCGAAATGCCACAGCAGCTGCTGCTGCACTGTCCTCTGATATACTCATGCCGCTAACAAGAATGTCTATGAGTGGTGGCAAGAATGAAATTCCACTTGGTGCTCCATCGAGCCATTTTGAATACGCTCCAATGACCAAGCACACTAAAGAATGAGAAACAAAGCCAGGATGACATAGTTTTCATAATTTAAGAAAATGAATCAAACACAACAGCCGGAGAATAGAACAATTTTATGCTGAGAAGAAGATAAAGGCCTGTATGGATTTGTAACATAGATAACCGATACCTGTCTGTAGCAGCTGCGGTTGATGAGGAAGTTTCGGAAGCAAAGACATGATCTGATAAAATAATACATGTTTTAAGGGTTTTTTGAATTTACAATGCAGTAACTAACAAAAAAGACAGCTCCTGCAAAAGTGATAACTCAAAGATCTAGATTTGTTTTAGAGAAAGAAAAAAAAAAAAAAAGAAACCGGAACAATACTAGTTGGCACTACAGTGTTGTTGCCTGAGGGAATTGAGAATGTTCGAACCTGTGGCATTACATCTCCATCAGTAGTAGTAGATACATAATCTGATATTGCCCGGATGCTATACAGAGCAGCTTCTGCTGGACGCCAATCAGTCTGCTGGCCATGTCCACCGTTACTAACAGCCTATCCTTCCATGCAAAGCAAGATAATTAGAACATGGATGCAATTTCAAAAACCAACAAAATCAGGGGATGCAAACCACTCTTGATTAACACGACAAATACATTGCTACGGGAGAAAAGAAAGGTAAAAAAAAAAAAACGCAAGTAGGGGAAGGAAGCCATAATGGTACTATAATCATTGATTTCCTCTCCAGTTGAAAAATATACAAAAGAAACAAAATTTGAATTTTTCCTCCACTGTGACTGGAAGTGAGGAAGAAGAGAGTTTTAACCAGCCAAAAGTGTGTTCATCTCACCAAGCCGAAATTAATATTACTTCAAATCTTTAAAGCTATCAGCAACGTCTTCTATTCTGGAACTGAATGACTCTGAATTGAGTTATTTCTATTACATAAGGTTCTTAAGAATCTCCTAGTTTAAGTGGAAAGCATACAATCCAGACAGGCAATCAAGTGAAACTGAAGACCCACGAGGAGGTCCTAAACATATTCATTACCCAATCCTGGGACTTAAATAGAACTCCCGCTTCTCTGCCTTATAAATGTACAAGATCTGATGCCCGATATCCCACATCACTACTACCTAACCCTGTTTTCTCTCCATAAATTTCAACAACATAAAGGTTGAAGGATTCTAGAACAACAGGTTTAAGGAAATTACAATATATTTTTACTTCACCATTAGTAATTCACTAATAACCTTTCAATGCAATAGTTGACAGATGAAGAAATACCATACGATCAAAGACATAAACACCCACCTCAATAAGCTTGATGTAAAGAATTCTTAGAGCAGAATCACCACCTAAAACTAGAGCTGCATCAATAAGGACATCTGCAACAGCTGCCAGCACAATGTATCTTGTCAGAAATCAATAGCAATGATCATATAATAATCTGCCCCGAATAGTAGGGTACAATATATTGAAGACATAAAATTTTTATGTTGCCAATAATGAGAGAAGGCACAGTTATACAGCCAAAAAAGTGTACTTGCAACAATCGAGGACTGTTGAAACAACAATCAACAGATGAATATTTTACCATATCTAGTCTGCTTGAAATCTTTCTGATCCTCCCTTGAAAGATCGGCAAAATCCTGGGGATACTGAACTTTGATGCTAACCTGAGATAAAATAAATCAACACTTAAATTATCAATCTAGGTAGCATAAAAAATAAATGTGTGCAGATCTTTTTTGCACTTAGCATGGGCATTAAACTTTTTTCGAGGAACCAAAAAAAAAGGAGAGAGGGAGAGAGAGAGAGAGAGAGAGAGAGAGAGAGAGAGAGAGAGAGAGAGAGAGAGAGAGAGAGAGAGAAGCCTCACCAAGGAAACAAGTGACTCATATGATGGACGGAAAACCTGCAATTGACGAGATTTCTCAGCTTCAACAGATGCTCCACCACCATTCGCTACATAAGAACCCCTGACCCATTGAAAATTTCTAAGTCAAAAGTCGAAGAAGCAACATATTTAAGTCAAAAGGAAAAGTAGTTTCACCTCTCAACTAATATAACTTGAAGACTATGCCAGAAGTTGAAGGTCATTGAAGCAATATCAAATTCTGGATGTGAAGCAACTTCAAGCAATGCTTGCACAATCAACATCGATTCATCAGAACCTGAAAACATAAGTCATTTCTATCGTTAGATAACACTGTAGGTAAACATAGCAAGCATTAGCCAAAAATCATTCACACAAGTGGTGCACTGCTAGTTTTATACACATATCCAGTCATATGGAACAATATCCTTCAGGTTCAGAATAATATCAAAGCAAGAACAGTGAAAAGAGAAGGTCACAAACATAAGCAGCCATATATACCTGTAGCAATTAGTTCAACATATGCGTCTCCCATGTCAGCAAATAAGCGAGCAATGGCTTTCACATCCTCTTCATCCTGAAATCAGGGTAAGTAAACGTCAAATGAAAGAACCTATTTCAACAATTCAGGAGGACAAATCAGAGTAAGTAAATGTCAAATAAAAGAACCCATTACAATAGTTCAGGAGGACCAAGACCTAAGGACATTACATAGACATCTTGTAACGTCTCTCACATTTCTAGCAAATAAAGTAATAAACTCGCAAGAAATTAAGTAAAACATTTTCATGTTTGAAACCAAAATATAGTCCTTGTCTTCCTTCAAAATAATTCAAGTTTAAACGTTAATTATATCCAGATGGAATCACTTCTGTTTAATCAATACTGAAACTATCTGTAACGTTTTTGGACTTTCAAACCAGTCTGATGTATCGTTTTGACAATCATATAACATGATATTTGTATCCAGAATCCTTAAGAGATAACACCCACTTCTTAACTAACAATTGCTCAACAAGTGATACATCAGGTCATGTCAGATTCTAAGAGAGAAATATGCAACCACAAAGATTCTTGAAAGTATGATGAGAGGGCGGCACACTACAACACTTAACAATTACTAGCAACTTTTTCATAGGGTGTAACCATTGGTTGCTTTGAGAAGAGAATCATATTTCAAAGAGAAACAAGCTTTTCAATTGAGAAAAAAGGGTCACATGACAACAAGGAATAGTGGAAAAAGGTTATATGTATTTCTCAGGTGGTATAGGTATCTTCATCTTCACTAAACCAAAAGACCAAAACACTCCCAACACGAGATAATTGCCCGAGTTTTTAAGAAGGTTGTTCAGCTGATGAATAATTGAAATCCATCAGCTTCCCACAAAGCTCAACCAACTGTGTCAAGGAAACAAATTGGTCTAGTCGCCTAGTTGGCGGGTCCTCCATTGCTGCCTATCTCTTGTTTTTCAGAAAGTAAAGGTCATTTCCCCTATCAATTTAAATAAAATGCTATAGATTAATCAATGATGAATGATCTAAATGTTGCTTCTAGAAACTTGGGGGACCTCTTAGGCTACTCGAAAGAGACACCCAAGAGAAAAAATGGAGATCTATATTTTCATAAAAAAACTATTGCCAAAATAGTTCATTCTGCTGGCTTGAAAGGCTCATGTTTGAAGTTATATCTGTTTCACATTAATTAGTTACTGGGCTCTTATTGTGTAAAGTGTGGATCAGGTACTCCCTGCATTTGATCTATCTTTTGGGAATAAGTTCTACCCAAACGCAGCAACCAAGTTGGTCTCCATAGAGGCAATGTTGGGTTTGGAACCGGCCAATTTGGATTGGCATGCCACGTATGAGAATGGGTGTTAGAAGTTTGTTTACCACACATTGATGAGTTACTGGTCTCTTCTTGTGTATAACGGTGGGTAGGTCAAACTATACCTTTGAGCTAGCTTTTGGGGATGAGTTCTACCCAAGCCCATTTATCATCAGCCCATAAACAAGTTAAACCCTAAAGTGCAATATAGTTGAAGATTAGTGTAAAAAGAATATAATCATTCACATGAACCAACATGTGACGACAAGGTTCAAGTTGCTCATAGAGAATTAACTATGCAGCATGTAAACATCTTTGTCATTGACTGTTTGAGACACTGAATTCCCAACCATAGGGAACCATATTTGACAATTTTAAAAAATACGGAGTAATGACATGCTCAAGCATAAACATTTAACCAATCTTCTATCATGCCAGAACGGAGAGAATTTTAGACTATACATAAATACCTTGGAAGGATCTCTAAGCTGTGCTTTCAGACTCATAATCCGAGGTACAATTGCTTGAATTAAGGGCATCTGAGACGCAACTGCATCAGGGTTTCTTATTGCTGTATAGTGTATTAATTCCGAAATAACTGCAGAAAAATGCATGGAATAAAATTAAACTTGAAAATTTACAGCATCCCTCTCATACAGACACAACATCAGTAAAGCATAATATGAATGCATATAACAGTTAACGAGAACGGTGAGGAAAGGGGGAGATTAGTAACAAGAGAATATGTTACATTAAGCTGCCTTTGCGCTTTTAATGATTCATTTAGCGCTACCAAATGATGATGAAGGGCACACCATCTCCAAAAAATCAGTCATTTTCTGTTCGTAGAAATTATTCAATATAAAAATTTGATTGTTTGAATTATGAAATTCGTCTTATTAGAAAAATCATTCCCCATGAACTGGCACACAAAAATACTAATTATCATATTCAGTAAAAAAAATATTCAAGTCAACAGGATTACAGGAAAAAGGGGGAAAATGAAATAAAAGAGTAGCATTCTATCTGCTCCGGTCAAATCTCAAGAACAAGATAATGCCAGCATCAATGGCATGTTGCTTTGCAGGACATCTATTATGAAGAAAATGCACTACGATATGTTATATATATGGATAAAGAAAGGATTAGCATGCCACCAGCACGAACCATTAACAGATGCCTCAGAAAGAATGTCACTCTCCAAGCTTGAGAGAGCTGTGAGTACTAATGGATGTGAAGCAAGAGCTGAGGCTGGAATCCTGAAAAAAAAAAAATATAAAATGGGTACGCAGACCCATCACAAGAATTAAGAAAGTGATATCAAGAAATACTGTACATAAAATGTTACAAAGGTACATGTAAAAGTCTATATTTGCATGTACCAAACTCAACACATAGCATGAAATTGGAGGTAAGCTGTAGAGGCATATTAGTATCTATCCGAGCAGGCATGCAAAGTCACTCCCCCTATCATGGTACCACAATTGCAGAGCTTTGGAAGGGATTTCCTCATTAATTCTGAGAAACGTGAGTAATATACTTTTCATTTTGTTTGAGAGAGGTCAGACCATTTGTCTCTATCGATGAAAGTATGTGCTTTATGATTTCTCAGGAGATCATAACTCGCTAAGCCATTTGCATGCATATCCATATATGATGTTCTCCTATACTGTGGTATTCTAGCCATATGAAAATAATGAATAACTTCTCCACTTCCCATTGCAAATTTGGTGACACTGAGGGAGCTCCTAGACGAATTTTGGATGCTTATAGTAAACTCTTTGGAGAAATGTATTTAGGGAGAATGTAATGAAGATGTGTAAATTAGGTGAAGGCTACACTGGTAAAATGTTATAAGCTCAGCTGCATTTTTGGAGAGTGGATCGAGAAAGATGACATTCCGGGAGTGGGGAACACAAACATAGCCCATAATCGATACACAAAGCGTACTCCTCTGGCATCCACAGGATGCAACATTTTTTCATATGCTTTGGCTGATTCCCTAAAAATCATTCGACTGAAATCGTCAGATGTTAGATCTCAGTTCTGAAAAAGAAGCCAGAATGCGTATCCATGGTGAATGCGGATATCTTGACTAATACACAAGATGTTTAACCTATATACAGATTAACTATAAGAGGAAATGCAACAAAGTATAAAACATGCCCCAATTCTAAGTATACTGCAAAACTGCTTCTGATTGCTTTGAGAGAAAAGGTGGCAGACATTTAATGGAAATAAAACCACAGAATTATTTGAAATCCACTAGGAAAACCATACCTATGCCTAAGTCGTAGCCAAGAAGAAAAAGCCTCAAGAACCTGCCAATTTTAAGAACTTAGAACCATAACTAGGATGTAATGCAAATCAAAGAGGAAACTTCCAAAATACACACAAACTGAGACATGGTAGAATAATGTATTAATTTAGCAAAGGGAAAAAGCAATTCAGCACAAATCAATAACAGCTCTGGGATGTAATAAGGTGAGAATCAACATCAGAAACACATGTATGGGTGCATTATGATGTAAGTACAGATTTTTTTTATTGACAAATGTCAAATTATATAAGAGGAAGTTATTGTAGTGCCTCTCTAGAATAAAAATCCAGAAAAAGACTGATTCCACCAAATCGGTATCAGTCAAGCAATCGATATCGGCAACTCAGAAAATAAAGAATTTCATAGTTAACCTAATCAATGTGATATTGGAGGTTTCATAAAATTATCACGAGTAACCAACATACCAGTTCTGTCAGCTCATTTATATTCAAGCAAGCAGTTAAGATACTGAGAGCAATCTCCAGTCCAGAAGCAAGTTCATTTTCGAAACTACGGCGTCTATCAGGACGAACTGAAATTTTGTAATTGAACACTTCCTGGTTTTGAGAAAAGAAAAAAGAAAAGGATAATGGTATTCATTCTATTAAACAGCCAGTCAGAGGCAGTCTGTTATCAGCATGTGTATCACCACAAACTAAAAGTAACAAATTTAAAATTGAATAGGAATCTGAAGATCTTCATCTAAAGAAACCAAAATAATGGCACAAATTATCAAAAGAAAATAAAAATAAGTGGAAGACTAAACATGGATTACTTTGGAAATAATAGCCCTTTGGAATGATATTTCATGCATGTAAACCTCACTAGCATGCAAGTAAATACATATAGCAAATCCATCAGAGAGCAGTAATAAGTCATTGCCTACAACTTTCAAGCTCACGTTTCACTAGATCGATTACAATAAAGATCCTGATGTGAGCTTGAGCTGATCGTAATTGGATGAGACAGAACATTTAAGTCTTTATCACGATCAGCATAGGAAGCCTGATGAACAGGTCAAATATATCTTGAAGCATGTAACCATTTCAGATATAATGAACCAAGCATGCTCCAATAAAATGTACATATAAAAAAGATGAAAACTAGCCAAGATGCAGTTTTTTCTACAAGAAACCATACTAATAATTCAGGAACAACTTGTGACACCAAGCTAAGCTGAATAACATGGACTTTTTATGTCTTTAAATAAAGATTTGGAGATTCACGCTTGAACTAAAAGAATTATAGGATATAACAACATGCCAAAAGATCCACCAACCATCCATTCCTACTGTGCAGCACTAGTACATGGAGTGCTTTTCATGTGAAAAGATCGACTTTGAATACGGGCTATAGCTTGCATGAATATGTTAAGTGTACACAAGGGGCTAGGGGAATGAGCAAGTGAGATTGCAAAAAAATGTTTTCTGGAAATAGGAGATCCATATACCTCGGGTAAGACTCTGAGTAGTTCCAGAAAACTTGGTAGACATTCAGGATGTGAATTCATTTCATCTCTTATCCAATTTACAATACCACCATCACCCCATTCTTCAGCTGGCACATGGACAGCCAATGCAGCCACTGCAAGACTAATCTATATAACGCGACACTTAGCCGTCTTCGTATCAAGATAAAAAGATATAAGTTTGTTTACCCCAGATATACCTGTGTTCGAACTTTAGGAGGTCCCTTGTGTAATGATTTCAGCAATGTCTGCACAAAGAATAACACATGAAAGTTTAAAAGAGGAGTAAAGCATTTATTAAAGGAAACCTCAAAAACAGAAATATACAAACAAAGAGAACAACATCAAATGCGTAAATAATACAATCACCACGAAGAGAACATCCATGAGAATATATACCCTATGGCATTGTCTTTATCTGAAGTCTAAAGTACAAAACTATTATCTATAGCCAATTATTCTAGGTCATCTCAAATCAATATCATCTACAGAAAAATCTATTCAAGTCCTCCGCGCAACACATTTCACATGCATCGAAGCATCAGTACACTAATCCAGAAAGTCGTAATAGGAAATACAAGCACATTTTTTCTCAACATTTCCATGCTCATTCACATACAATATCTTTCTCCACGGAATCTCCTGAATGCAACCACTCAAAATCAATAATGAACAAAGCTAAGTGTACAAGTTAAAGAATACATTTACTAGTTTGTAGGCAAACAAGAACGCATTCCACCATAGAAGACTACTACAAAGCTTACAATGAACATGAAACATAACATAATTAGAAATGAAACGCACAAATCTCAAATATTTTGTATTACATTGCATAATTGTCACATCATGCTAGAAAAGGTTAGTGTGGCATATATATGCATTGCTGTTATTTCAGAGATCCTCGAGATATTTTTAGTTCTCACATTTAAAGAAACCCGTAATGGACGAAATGCCCCGGAAGGTAATTCTTCATAATCACGTTGCACCTGTTTACACACAAAAAGGAGATGGAAGGAAATTAATTTTGAGAGCAGTCATAAATTAAATAAGACAACGCAATTTTAGCCCCACGGACAATTAAATAGAAGAGAATGATACCTTGCTTCTAAGAGTTTGAGAGCAGAATATCAAAGTTTCTATATTGCTAGCAGAATCATGAAGCAAATTATCTGCCACCTAACCAAAACAAACATGCAATCAGGAGAATGACAGGAAAAAAAAAATGTGAAGAGAAATACCCCTTTCAAGTTATAGATCATTGATAGCCTGATAGGGGTAAATGGCAACAAACAATAATAATTCTACTAAGTCATACAAAAAAAAACTAAGGAGTAAGGACTCGCTTAAATAGAATGCTACCCTATCAAAATAACCCTAGTGGGCACCTTAACCCTACAGACTTGAAACCCACTAATTTATTCTAGATAATATCAATATAAGATAACGGTCTCTAACAATCACCCTAGAAGAAATACACAATCATTGTAGAGAATAATAAGGAAGGGCTATTCTAGAATGTCCCATTCAATTTTCTTTTCTCTATGAAATATGAATACCTAAAATACTTTGAATTGCTTACTGATAATGGACTGTAAACATACATTTTAAGAACTTAACTAGTTTGTGCACTATCACGCCTAGCACATATATATAAGAGAAATGTAATAGGGAGAAGAAATATTGTTTTTGGAGCAGCATCACAAGTTATACGGCGAAGCACAATTTTAGCTATTATAGTGAGATGACAATCAAATATTAATATTGACCAAGAAACAAATAAAATGCATTAATGTGCAGCCAAATAAATTGAGAAACTGCAGCCTATCAGTGGTATATTATCACTAATGAACTATAGAGTAAATAAGACTTGTAGTAAATTCAATGTAATATGAACAGTTCTAGTTCAGTCATTAAATCATTTTAAGGGGATAGTTTGGTTCAAGGATTGGTGAATGATCAATGTTTATTTTTTTATCTTGGTTGGTTTGATTATCTGCAAGATGTCCTATTTCCAGGGGAAGGGTTAAAATTTAATAGGAAAAATATAAAAGACTACACCTCTGGTTTCCAGCCAAAATATTATAACAATTTTTGTACCTTTTAAATGTGGAATTCATTGAAATAATAAAATCAACATCAGTTCAAGAACATAAGCTAATTTGTGCAATTACAATGCAAACATACACTGCAGTTAAACAAATATATAACCCTAGCCTGTAAAGTCTTTTGTTGTTTCACCTTAAAAATAATTCTATTCTTAGTCATCTGGTTGCTGTAAACATTACACCACAACTTAATTTCACCAAGCATCAAACTCTGCCTAAAATTACGTATCTTACAGAAAATTAAGAAATGTAAGAATGATAGATTAACTTAGCCTATAAAAGAAAAGAAGAGAGGAAGTATCAAGATTCCTGAGGAAAAAATTAAAATAAGTACAGCCTGAGGAGGTTCTAAATCTTTAACAAGGAAAAGGCCATGAAGAAAAAATCACTATACCCAAAGGCCCACTCTAAATCCAATCTCATCCCATAGCTATAGATCATTAAACAGAAAAAAGAAATATAAAAATAATATATATATATATAATTATATATATATATATAATTATATATATATAATTATATATATATATATATATTAACAGACACTGTTGTGACTTGTGATTTTAGAGTTAATTTTTTCAATGCCCCTATAAGGTGCTAAGGTGCAGTTACTGCAATCAAAACTATGTTGGGAATAAGCGGAGCAGTTGATCATATTATTCCTGTTTATCAATTCCATAAGAGTGGAAGTAGCAATTAGAGAAACCACGTCATTTATTTTCTTTGAAATTCTGCCGTTCCACCTTTCACTACAATCTCAAGCATAATTGTTTCATAATATTTCAAAATACAAATTGCAGTTAGCAATCAATACAAGCTGAACCTTGTTAACAGTTAAAGCTACCATAGCAAAAGTTACTAGAAGATGAGAAAGTAACAATATTACTTGAGTGGAATACAATCAAGGACGCTGAACGTGGATTGTGGCCAAACAAAGATATAAATCAAACAAACAATGTAAAGCAAGTTACAAAAATAAAGGAAGTAAAAGAGAGACGAACTGCGTAGAAGAAGAATGGTTGAGGTAATTAGAAGAAGAATGGTTTGAGGTCTACATAATCTGCATTACACTCTATTCTGAACTGGTCAATATACTAAACTTGATGACAAAATTAATAAACATTGAGATGCAACATTGTTGTCATATAACTTGCACGAAGGTTGAGCATTCATAATATGTTGCAATTTGAACCAATTTATACCGAATTGATAAGATTAAAACTTTACAACATGCGCTGTTTGAGTTCCTAAAAAATCAATCCTAAAAGATAGAACATTCAGAAATGCAGCTCCATTAATTAGAAGAACAACTCGTAGCTTATCAAAGCAACTGAGACTTTTAAGTCCAACAAAAAAACTGTCGATGTGCGTTATTCTCCCCAACCTTTTCTTCAAATTCCACAGACTGAAGACACCCAGTGTACTTGCGAGGGGTACATTCTAACATGTACATGCATCCAATCAAAGAGCATCAGAACTATACACATTCCATGCGGTTAACAATGATCAGCATGGAAAAATCATAACTTCCACTATATTAAGAGGAACAGAATCATGCCATCGATACGCTATCACACAAAACCAACTATCATACAGGAGCAATAATCAAATTATCAATACATATAACTGAGGATACTATTCAGCCTAAATTAACAAAGGTCTGTCTTCAAGTAATTACCACTAACTAGTCACAAACAACAATCTCGATCAATCTCGTTAGTAACCATCTAATTTTTGAAAAAAAAAAAAAAAAAAAAAAAAAACATCACAATTCAACTGAATCCGTGTCCAGTTCATGAAAAAAAAATCAAAAGAACAAACAAAAACAAAATACAAACTTTAGACCACTCCAACCAACACTTCGAATCTCCAATACAAGTAATAAACAAGAAAAAGACACCAGAATCCCCAAATAAGTTTGAAAAACCCCATGGCAATATCAGACTCACTGAGAAACTCACCTGCCAAGCGTCAATCGTGCGCTGAAAATCTTGAAGCCAGCGATCGGCCTGCATCCGTACGGCGTCGTCCGGGTGGTGGTAAAGCGCGTTTAGGGCTTCCTTCACAGTGTTCTGCAGCTCCATCTCTCTTTCTCGAACAATCTCCCACGAACCAAACGAGGATTGGCAGATAGATGCAGAGAGAAGACAACAGAGTTGTGCGAATTTGAATTTTAATGGCAGATTGTAAGCAATGGTCAAGCTCCTTCAATTTGTGTGTCTATCTGGTAGTAAGTCCATTCTGTGTCAATATTTTATATACGTATATGTATAATTCTTTTATTTAAAACTTCAGCTGGTTTGCAAATGGGCTGCTGGTTCTTATTGGGATCGGGCGTGCGAATAGAGGTGGCCACTGGCCATTTGGCGGGCGGATCTGGATCCGGCCCGAACTGGCGGGGTCGTTGGACCTGAAAACAGGTTTCCGGAACCGGGCCGTATGTAGGTAAGGATTCACCGAACCGGCAGTTCGAGACCAGCCGGTTCACAAAGGAAAAAAAATTGAACATTAGCCCGAGGTCGGTCCGGAATCAGCAGGTTAAAAAAAAAAAAAAAAATTAAGACCCAAAAAAAGGCTCGTTTGTAGCACAGATTCAGTTCAATGACCCGTGTATACAGGCTGGTTCCGGACCGACCCATGCATGTCTACGTGCGAAAATTAGGTGGTAAAGATCAAATTTCCGACACCATAATTCAACTATCTACATATATCCTCTGGTGACTTTGGAAATTCCGTAATCTGTGGCAATCTGAGAGCTTGTGGAGGTCGGCTCCTTTTATTGCTCAAGCTGATGTCCATGAATGGAAGAATTCTTAGCAATTCAAGTTCACTAGGCCTCGGTTTTTTTTGTCTTGTCTTGTCTTTATGACGGGCTAGGATCTTTGATCATTGTCACACTTTTATTTTGGTTTGTAATATTGAAGGGCTTAGTGCGTTGTTTTTCGTCTTTGATCTTGTCACATGTGTTTGGTTAGGCTACATGCGTGTGGTTCTCTTTGTGTTTCGGTTCCTGTCTTCTTCCCTTTGTATCCAACCTTTGTGCTTGTTTTATTGTTTTATTAAGTATTTCTATCGTTCTTGAAATATATATATATATATATATATATATATATATNNTATAATATGGTTCAAATGAGAACCAAGTCCTAGCGTGAGAACCGTGAGAACTGCTATTTTAATTGTATCTACTGTTATGATTGATTGTGTTTTGTGTTATTTTTAATTAGGATATATTTTCTTAAAAATAGCAACACAATTTTATATTAACATGTGTGAAAATGATAGCACCATGTAATATTAAAAATAGCATCATACACAATGAAAAATAGCATCAAATATGGTTCTAACGGTTCTCACACCAAGACTAGTTATATATATATATATATGTGTGTGTGTGTGTGTGTGTCCAGTTTAAATGTATATTAGGATATGTTTTGTAAAATTAGCATAAGTTAACTGGTAGCTGATACATTAGCATATAGCTTATAAATGAATTTTGAGTTTGTAGCGAATATTTATTTATTTATTTATTTTTGTGGCTTAAAAGCTACCTGGTATGATAATATCAATTGATAGCTTATAAATGAATTTTGAGTTTATAACTGATAGCTTATAGTTGAAAAACTAGTTGAATAAAAGTGTTTGGTAAATTAGATGTTAAGTCAACTGGAATAAAAAAATCTAACGGAGTTATCTGAAAACTACCAAAATAAGCTTATGAGATAAGCTCATCAAGTTTATTTAAATACAAAAAACTTATAAACTAAACAAAAAAGTTATAAACTAGTTTATGTTGCGTATCGAACACATTGTGCCTATGTCTGGTTCAACATAGAGAAAGGGAGGGGGAGAAGGAAAGTGGAGGTGATGTAAAATAATTTTACATTGTTTTGAAGGATTTGGTTACAGGGGTCAGGAAAGTTGGAGAAAAATTGTAAACTTTGTCTGGTAAGAAATAAAAGGGAGAAAAAATAATGTTAGAATGACAAATGTATCTTTAATGATGTTAGATTTAAAAATTAAAATATTATATATAATAAGGGCAAAATTATAATTGAACAACTTAAAATTTTTCCTCCACTTCAATTTCACACATATTTGGAGGGGAACAAAAATGGGGAGGGGAGGGAATTTTAACCTAAAATTTTACCCTTCCCTCATATTCTAATTTCTCAACCAAACGAGGAAAATATATATATATATATATATATATATATATATATATATATAAAAGAACCCCTCTCATTCCATTCAGGTCATATTCTTTCTGATTACCAAACACATCAATGGAAAAAACTTGTTTTATTTTCCCATATTCATTCTACTCTTCAATTCATTCCATTCTTATCAAATTTCATTCCAATATACCTATCGTGTCATAAGTATATCTTGTGCAAGGTGTTGGTCCGAAAAGATGCACGCCTTCTACGTGATCTTCGTGTAATGGCATACTTCAGGCAATGCTTCCCAAGCGATTTGACTTTGTCCACGATCAAGGAACTTGCTCGTGCATTGGCCGCTCACCCTCCTTATGAAGTTCCTATATCAAGTATCAAAATCAAACATCTCCATTGCCAGGTAGACTCAGGTACTCAGATCATTGTATTATTTTCAAGAACACTGGAGTGTTATCTCTCTGAAAATTATTCAGCCTAAGTGGATTAATGTTTTTTTTTTTTTTACCGTTCATTGTCTTCCGGTTAGGTCCTAGAGACTGAAACTGTCTACAGTTTGAATGCAAGCATTGTTGGTCTGGGATTCAGTTCAGCGTCCGACCGATTTTCTCAATGTGTTGGCTTGGGTAAGTTCTGTTAACCTTTACCATGGTATATCCTCAGTCTTGTACTTGGTGCATTACAGTAAATATGGTGAGGTAAAGTCTGTTGCGGGTAGATTAGTGTTGTTCTGTTTTATTTCTTTTGAAAGCTCAAGCTTCTCTCTCTTATGAACCAGGGAAAGTGAGAGGCATCGACATCTTCAGTGGGGTGCTCCATCTTATAACCCCTGTTCCACAGAAGTTTCTGGAAGATGTTGATCTGTTACTTCAAGGGCTTATTCAAATTTGGAATGCTTTACTTCAGGTATTTCATTCTTGTCTTTACTTCAGCATATAGATTTTTTTTTTATTTTTTTTTTTTGGTACAGGAAAGGAAGCGAAACTACTATCGCTTTATCACGACCTGACGAGGATGGGCCGTGGCATCATGAGTTAACCTTAAACCCGCCCCCTCCGGAGGCCGATCAAACCGGTGCAAGCCACCTGCTCCTTTAGCCGCCAACGAGGCTAGAAAATCCACCACGAAATTAGTCTCCCATGTCCATGGGTAAGCTTAATCTTCCAGGCTCTACTCATAAGTTCCTGAATCCCTCGAACAAGATACTACTGTGCGGCCCACCGAAGTCCTCTCGACCAACCATAGTAATGACTTGGTTATCCACTTCCGCTATAATCTTCCGGGCTCCAATCTCCCATCCCAGCTATTTCTTTTGATTAATTTCTTCAGGTGCAAGGTAATTGTGTTTCTCCATACATGTCTGCAAACATGATCTCTACTAATTAGGTACTCAGCCCGTATTATTATAAAGTTTTCAGATTGCTTCTTTACAGCTAACCTTTTGTTAATCAAGCTACTGTAAACATATTTGGATTCACTAGCTGTACATCAATCTATTTGTAATCTGGAATATTTAACTTGAAATGACATGAGTTCACTGCTAAGGGTGCTAAATTGTTATTGTTAAATGAATATATAACAAAATTGTTATTGTTAAATGAATATACTCTCCTAGTAGTAATGTTTATTATGCGAATGTTGATTTAATAATTTGTTCATAAAAAGAAATAAATTTTATTTTTTAAATATTTAACAATTCTTAACAACGTACGTCAATAACATAATGAAAATGACATTTTTTTCACCTGTAAAACTCATTGGTCCTATATTATATTAATACTTTTTATAACTTATATTATATAATTAGCATGAACTTGATTGTTAGTAAATTCATTTTTTTTTAATTCAAATTGATAGATGTTATATCTTTTAGTCTATTTGTAAATATTGATATAATTATTTTCATTATATTTATATATGCAATATGATTATAAATATATCATATACTAAAAATTGATAACAAATAAAGAATTATTAAAACATATAAATTAAAAAAAATTTAATAAGAATGGATAAAAGTTCAAATTGACCGGAATTACTCCAAAGAAATGTGGAAATTGGCAAATAGAATTAATTATAAAGCACCATTAAATACTAAAACTATTAAAAAAAAAAATTCAATAGAAGACTTGAAAGATGTGCAAACTATCAATTCAAGGTCTGAAAGATTTTTTTTTTCTCAATTTGCGGCCTAAATATTATAAAACTATCAAATTAAGTCCTACAATTAACAACACTCATAAAACCATTAGATTGAGAGTTAACTAGTACGTGGCCCGTGCGATGCACGGGTAAACAATAAAACAATTGAATTATAAACTAAAGGGAAAGCTCATTATGTAACTATTCCGTCGAGGGGTTTTAACCGTATATTATTTATCGTATGTAATGCAAGTGTAAGCGTCTGGGTCCGGTTTGGAGTAGATCGATTCTTGTCCTTGCCGGTAGAACGCCGGGAACCT